AAGAGATTATAAGAAAAGATATGAAGTACTTAGAACTAACAGAAGACTTGATACAAAACCGTCTGCAATGGCATTCTAAAAATTCATATAGACGACCCCACTTAATGAAATAAGACTTAATTATTGTTGTTGTAATACGTCTAATACTACAATTTAATGGTTTGTATTAGTATTTTAGTGTGACTTACATAGATAACCATGATGTATAATATTTGTACTAAAATATAATATTTGTGTTAAATTCAATACGCATTGTGTGACTTAGTTCAAATTCCGTCTCTCATTATATAGTAAAATACTTTTGCATAAACAATAACAATCAACTTCAATATTTGATATCCTCAGGCTCTAACTCTAGACATGTGAACCGCCGAAGCCAAACCTCTCCTTCCTGAAATTCCAAATTATTTACTATAAAAACTCGCATCCCACACTTCGTTTTTCTCTCAAAATCTCAAATGGGTTTCAAGCTCCAAGCTCCGCTGTGCCTTGTAGCTCTTCAAGTTCTGGTCTTCTTCTCAGAAGAAGCAGAGTCAGCAGGGCACAGCCATGGCAGCAGCTTGAGAGTCCACAGGAAGCAAGTGAGCCGCTGCAATTTGTTCGAAGGCAATTGGGTTTTTGATGCTTCTTACCCCCTTTATGATTCTGCCACCTGTCCCTTCATAGATCCCGAGTTTGATTGCATCAAGTATGGCAGACCTGATACGCAGTTCCTCAAGTATGCCTGGAAGCCCGCCTCCTGTGACTTGCCCAGGTACATATTAACCCTTCCTGTATCATAAATTCTCCATGCATGGTGTTCGTTCAATACCATTTTCGTTAAATTATCGCTATGAGATAATCGAGAATTGTTATTAGCACTTATACAACACTCCTCCGTACTGAAATAGATAAAGGAGAGAGACGTGCATGATGACGTTTTTGTGGTTCTAACCAACAATAATTCTCTAAACACGTGTCTCAAATTATGTTTTTAGAATGAATATTAGTAGATTAGCGTTAACAACGTGGCTCAAACAATAATATTAGTTGTTTAATTATTATTGAAACAGGTTTGATGGGGTGGATTTTCTGAGGAGGTGGAGCGGAAAGAAGATAATGTTTGTGGGCGACTCACTGAGTCTGAACATGTGGGAATCGTTGTCTTGTATGATACATGCGTCGGTGCCAAATGCCAAGACCACCTTCAGAAAAGGCTATTCTGTGAACTTTGAGGTGGAGAGATTTTTCATACGCACTCTCTCCCTCTCTCTGCTCTTTCCAATTTCTCTCTCTATCTCTGTGCATGTGTGTGTCTTTCTCTCTTTCCAACATGTTCTGCTTTTTTTCCCCTTTTTTATTGTTTTTGGCAGGGTGGTTCCCCACACTCTGCTGTTTTCCACTGGTTTACTCGTTTTTTTTTTTTTTTTTTTTGGAGATTTGGATTTTATCCGGACTCAAATTAAGATTTCTATTTCTTAGTCATCTATATCGTGTGGTTAGATTTTATTTGATTTTTTTATTTAAAATTAAACTAAATATCACATGAAGAAAACTGATTATATGATGTACGATGAACAATTAGGATGTGAAGATCCTTAGCATCCCCATAAAGAGAATCCGAAAAGGATCCTTATCTATTTTTTTCTGAACAATAATTGACTACTCAAAGATGAGTAGGAACTCCTACTCAAAACTCTTAGTGTTTTAATCATAGAATTTTGTGCATATGATCAAAACCGTTTATACTATGAATGACACTGTAAAGATCATTTCTACAAAAAAAAAATAAATTAAAACTAATGTCGTTTAGTCAATCTATTGTAGCAAATATATAGACGGTTCGTAATGCTTTTACCAATTCCGTTCATTTGTTTTTAAACAGCTTGATGACTAAACGACTTTAGTTTTAATTGATTTTGCAGATGCGATTTTATAGGGTAAAACACGAAGTTTTATAGATTGACAACAAACAATTCTGAAATTTTTTTAATAGAAGTTCCTACTCATCTTTTAGTAGCTAAGTATTGTTCTTTTTTTCTACCATGTTGAGTTGTTTAATTGTGTAAACTTGCAATCATAAGTCAATCACGTATTGTCGTTGAAAAAGCTAGAACGTATAACAGTTTGTGATCTATATACCGTGAGTTGTGGGCAGCAAATCAGATGTGCTGAACAAACTATAGGTGAAACCAACAAAAGATTGTTGTGGGGTTTGGGTAGGGAAGAGAAAAAAAAGTTAAAAACAAACTTTCTCATCTGAGCAAACTATAGGTGAAACCAATAAACGATTGTTGTGGGGTTGGGTAGGGAAGAGAAAAAATAGTTAAAAGACAAACTTTCTCCTCCATTTTTCTTTTCCCTCTTTATTGTCCTCTGGGTTAGAAACATATTATTTTTCATGTATTTTTTCCCCTTGGTTTAAGACTAGGTAAATAAAAAGAAAAAGAAATAGTTTTCGTACAGCCATTTTCTCTTCACGCACGCTTTTTTTTTTCCTTTTAATATTTGAATCAAGCACTTTAAACGAGAATCAAAGGGAGTAAGTGTAAAGGAAGAAAACAAAAGTTTGAAGATAACTACCTAAATGAAAAAGCATATAGAAAACCATAGAACCTAACTAAGGATAAAACTCCGGGCACGTTTTGTTTGAATTTGATAACTCACTAAGTACTTACACATAGTTTCATACCCTTTCAATAGGAGGCTTCTCTACCCAAAAACAAAAAAAAAAAATTGTAGGAGGACTTCAATTTGCATCATATTATCTGTATTTTTTTTTTTTTCATGTTCTTCTACATTATTATTTATTTTCCACGTAGATCTTTAAAAGCCATGAGCTTTCCATGCTGTGATGAGCAACCAGCCAACCTGTAATGGACCGCTTTCATCAATGATCTTTCTGCAATGGGGTTTCAATAAATCAATTTATAATTGTTCCTCTTTTTTTTTTGGTCAAATTATAATTGTCCCTTGTTGAAATACTGTCCATTATCAAAATTATGCATGTGGGTGGCTTCTTGTAGTAATATGACTCTTTTGGAAGTGTTTTTAAAATGATTGAAAGCGATTCGGCGAAAATGTTTTTGGGTTCTAAAAAGCATTTAAAGTGCTTCTTGGTGTTTTTTCCAAAAAGCACTTTGTTTTTTTTTTTCAAAATTCACTTGCATCTTTATTAAGGAGTTGTTTCAAAAACATTTTCAACAGAATTGCATTCAACCATTTTTAAAGTCATTCCAAACGAGCTCTTAATTAGTTAAATGCATGGTTTTATAATTGTGTTATTTTGTGCAGGACTATGGAGTGACTTTGTTTATGTTCCGGACACCGTACCTTGTAGATATAGTCAGAGAAGAAGTTGGCCGTGTGCTAAACCTAAACTCCATCAACGCCGGAGATGCATGGAAAGGGATGGACGTCCTGATCTTCAACTCTTGGCATTGGTGGACCCACACCGGCAATTCTCAACCGTATGTTTCAACCCATTACCTTTTTTTCACTCACCCACTCGAGTGACTGTTAATCATTAATGAATACTGAGTGACTGTGAGTCGTTTATACATAGTGGGAATCAATGAATAGATTCTGAGTAACTATTAGCCATTGATGAACCCTGATTTTCCCACAATGCAATAACAACTCACTGAATCCGAGCATGTGGGCAATGCATTGTTGCTGAATGTGAGTTGTTCATGCATTTTGAGCCCTACAATGCATTAAACACCTCACAGACTCACAGGAAATACTCAAGTGAGTTAAGCATCGTCTATGACCATGAGCCGCTTATGCACTATAAGCAAAATGCATCAATGACTCATCACACCCACACGAGTGGGTAATGCATTGTGAATGGATGTGAGCCGTATATACATTGTAAGCAAGCCCCACAATGCATCAACAGCTCACAGCTCCCTACGGATGAGCGACTAAGATTAGCAGAACTATTGTTTTTCTGAGTATTGCATTTGATGATTGTATTGTGCAGATTTGATTATTTTCGGGATGGGACAGAACTGTACAAAGATATGGATCGTTTGACAGCATTTTATAAGGGGCTTTCCACATGGGCTAAATGGGTTGACTCAAATGTTGATACTTCAATAACCAAAGTCTTCTTTCAGGGCATTTCTCCGACACATTACCAGTAAGGAAAAACTCAGACTTGCAGATATAATTAACAGTGATTATGTCGCTTTAATCGTAATTAACGACGTCGTTATTGTGTTGAATTACCAGGGGACAAGAATGGAATTCGCCGAAGAAGAATTGCTTAGGAGAACTTGAACCGCTATCGGGATCAACCTACCCAGCAGGTGCACCTCCATCTGCTGCTGTTGTGTATAAGGTGCTGAGCACGATTACGAGCCCGGTTTACTTGCTCGACATTACAATGCTCTCGCAGTTGAGGAAGGATGCTCATCCCTCGACTTACAGCGGCGATCACTCGGGCAACGACTGCAGCCATTGGTGCTTGCCAGGGTTGCCTGATACCTGGAACCAACTCCTATACGCAGCACTCATCATGTGAATTGTGAAGATCAACACTGAGCTACAGTAGCAACCAATTTTAGTTTGGGAAATGATTCCTGCGCTCACGTTTTCTCCTTCAAGAGGGAGAAAAAGACGGTGCGGAAATCATTTTCCTCTAGTTTCCTTTCTTTCAGATCCACATCGATTGGTAAACGACAATAAGTGGTAGAATCAGTTGTAAATTGATTGTTTTACTGAACCAGAAGAATGGTTTCGAGTTCATAGATAGACAAAGAATAGATTCAAATCCGAATGAGAGTGTAAGTGTGGTCAAATTGAAGAAATGTACATGTGGAATTTTCCAGCATTGTGCTCAATATAATTTCTTAAAAGCTCTTGAATTTGTGAAGGTACTATACTGATACAACAACAACAGAAACACATTATTTTGGTTTGCAATTCAACCCGAAAGCTAAAGTGATTTCAAGAACGTTCACTATGTTCCAAATGGAGATCAGAGATAAACAAATAAACTAGATGACAAGCAAATATGAACACAAACTTAGGATTTTGTGAAGAAATCGTCGGTAGCATCATATATCTTCAATTCCAATTATTAATAAGCATACAAGACCAAGCATTCGGGGATTCGCTATACAATCATCAGCCATAAAAATGACAGGAAGACAGCTCTTGGCACAGAAAAATCAAAGATATGTTGACGGATACTGCTCTTCCTCTCACAGGCGAAGACACTGATGCACCAGCCATGACTCTCCTAGAAGGGTTCGGTATCAGTTCAAGATAACGAACTTGAGCAAGTCCACTTCAAAAGGACAAATCATTTGATAACAATTCTTATGTTAACTTCAACTATGGGATAAACAAAATACCAGTACGGGCAAGAAAGCAAAAGTGAACAAACCTTAAGAACACTCCGGTGGGGGATTTGGAGGAAAAAAGAAGCTAGTAACCAATGTAAACTGCTGCATTCACTATGTAACAGTCGTCAGTCTTATCTCCCATTTCTTCCACCAACACGCCACTTGAGCATATCAGTCCACCATCCACAACTTCAACTTTCACAATTTCTCCACTGCAATCAAGTTTTAAGCCGGATACAAGGCAAAAGTAATGTCAGATTAGAACTTGTGGATTGTGGTTTCAATGTGATTGCATTACACTGTATAAGATAAGATTTGAAAATCTAGAGAGGATAAACCAAATAAATTGGTTTTCAAGCTCAGCGAAGACTAAAGTCACTTACTAGTTACTGCTAATTCAATATTTTTTCTTAAGCAGCAATGTACATGCCTTGACTAAACCAAGTCAAGATTACAATCAACGAGCAAATAGTTGGATATATCCCTTAATCTACAGTATGTAAGCTAAGCACAATTCAAACTGGAAACAGAAGTTGGATAACATAGAGAATCTTTCCTCCATTGTAGGGGAATAATCCCGCTAGAAAGATTTCAGATAGACTGAAAAGCTTTCGAACATGGATTAGTACCAGCAATGGTCTTAATGCAATATGATTATAACCACTAAGAGAATCCGTCCTTATATTGCACAAACAGGCACAATTGTAAAGACAGGAAATGCTCTTTGATTACCCATGAAAGCTATCACTCAAACTTCGAAGTACACAAATTAGTAGTACAACTTGGTTAAGTTGAATTTGATATGTTTCAGGTAATGAAAATTCATTGATTTAGACTCAAAAAGTGCAGATACTCACTATGGAAAGACTGATTTGACCTTCTCGACATCCAGCGATGGTTGGAGTACACGAGGCACCCCCAGCTTGATCTCTAGCTTCATCTGCTCAAATGTCACACCAGGAATTGACCCTGCAGCAATTGAACTTCATGACTACTAATGAAACAAACTCCATTACAATCCTCCAAATACAACTACAATCATCCACCATGAGATAGTGTCATCAAGCACATCATCACATAAGGAGTCCTACTACAACAAATCCAATTTATCAAAACAGAAAATTAAACAGCAACGCATGTAGTAACCGAAATTCACGGTGGAGTATGCTAACAACTTAGTTTTCTTCTTCCTAATTTTCAGAAAGACATATGATGATACCTCTTCGAAACGCAGGGATTGAATTGGAAGTGATGGCATCTCTGCAAGCCCGCATTGCCGCAGACGTAACGTCCTGCCTGTTACACCAACACAATTTCATCAAGCTTCAAATCACCAGACCACTTTCTTTAACAAAAAGATCAAATTTTGATACTTCAAGTTTACCAAACCAGCTCCAAATTTACCTTTCCAAACTAACAAAAGCTCGAATTTTTACACTTCAAAATTACCAAATCAGAAAAAGCTCAAATTTTGATACTTGAACGCATACAAGTGTCAAATGGGCAATCATCAATCAAGGCAAAGAGAGATGAGAGAGTCAAATGATCAAAAGGAAGCTGACCCGTGTTGGTCGTAGCCGACGCCCATCTCCACGAACAAGAGCTTCATGGGCGACGCCGAGGCGGTGGTCTCGCCCTGCTGGGTGGCTTCCATGGCAGCTGATGCGGCTCTGATTTGGCGAGAGAATCGAGGGGTTCGAAGATGGGAGAATTGGGTTGGGATTAGAGTGAGAAGTGGAGGGAAGGAAGATGGTGATTGGTAGTTACTGTGAGAAGCAAACGCAGTAGATGAAGAAGAAGAGAGTGGCAGATTTAGGAAGAAGCAGGCCGTCATTTTTTCAGCCCAGAAAAAATTGAATTTTGTATTTGTTGCCCCGACATGATTCGCACCACCTCTCAATGGGTAAAAGCCGGCCTTTTTTTTTTTTAATTTAATTTTAATTTTAATTTTTTTATAATCAGGACGGGTTATCCAATAGCGGAAGGATCGTAAGTACATTTTTTTTTTTTTTTTCCATTTCTATTCCCAGCAGGATACTCAACGTTAAATTTATATAGACGCTCTGAATTAGGATTATCTTTCGTTCTATTTTCATCTTTTTCTTCTCGTCTTTTCACTTTTTATAAAAGAATATTGATGTGACTTAACCGTGATTGTTCAAATAGGAAAAGAGAAGAGGAGAGGGAAAAAAAAAGAGAAGAGAGAATCCTACTCCATACCAAATTAACACACTCCGAACTCGAGACATGCAGACTATTATCTAGTTATGTGACAAAGCATGAAGACATAATTAAAGTTGTCAGCTGATAACTGTAATTATAGAGATTAACTTTCATTTAAAAGGAATTTTACACGGAGTAGACATCCGACTTGGTATGAACGAATCAGAGCTATTGAAATATATGCCTTGACATTGAATGTGGTCACTGCTACGGCTACTGAGTCCTAAGAGGATGCAAAACATAAAAATCGAAGTGAATTTTTATTTCAGAAATGTTTTATTTATCGATATTAAGCATGCCTAGATAAAAGGTTTTCAACTACATATTTTGTAATAACCAGTCACCTTGTCTATAAACCCAAATTTGTATTGTTTACCAAATTGTAGCTGCATGTGTACAACCCTATCATACCAGACTCAGTTCAACACGAGTAAGATCCGTCTAAAATCGGGCACGTACCTATAGATCAGGCCGGGCTAAGTTTTTCATCGACAATCTGGTTGGCGCAAGCCAGTTTGATTAGGTTTGACCAAACTATTTAAACTAAACCGAACTAAACCGAACCAAACCATAATGAATTAATACGACAAGATCTCAAAGAATTGAAGTGAAAAGAATAAGTCGATCTTATTTGAGGATGACGAAGTTGTAGCATGACTACCTTGTATTACAAGCTATTATACATGTTAGTGAACTTCTGGAACATATTAAACCGATACCCAATCTAGCCGAGCAGGTCATGAGTAATAATAATAATATAAATACATAAATGCAATAATAATACCATATAGAAGTTCATCTTTACAACAAAAAACTCTCGGAGCAATTTCTGAAGCTGAGATTGCTACAGATTTAGCACGGTGTAGACCGGCATACGATTTTCTGCTGCTGCTGGTTCTGGCATTGTACATGGCACGATCTCACCTTGTCTCTCAACACCTGAAACGCTCTCATCGTTTCTGCATCGAATCCTCCGGCAAACTGCAGCGAAAAATCACAACACATTGTAAGAATGCGAAATACAGAACACAGTAAAAGGATCGATGCTGTTGAAGTGAGTGTTTTTTTAGTTACCTGATGTACGCGGAAGGCAAATCGAACGCCTTGAACTATCAGCTCTTCTTCTTCGGGACCACCGCCGACTATTTCAAGCTCGGCAGAGACTCTCTTCATGTACTTCATTGCCAATTTTACCGATGCCAACTTGATCTGCGATCATGTAAAACAATAATTCAGTTCCATATGTTTGTATTCTTTTCTGCTAACATAACACTTATGTGGCGTATTCTTGGAAGACAAATGATTTTCGCATTCACGCTTTCTCCTTCTGCGTATCCCTCTCTATTTCTAGCTTTTTGAATTGAATAAAACCAATGGAGAATCAAGGGACAAAAATTAACAATAGTATGCAAAAGGAGAAAACGCGTAGGCGCTACAGGGACTCTCCATGGATTATCTCTCACCTCACAGTTCAACGTCAATTTCTATGCCAATGTTTTACAATGTTAGCACGAAAATTAACGTTAAATAGCAGATCATCCACAAAAAGTCCCACTTTAAAGAGAATTCCTGAAGCATTTCTCTCCAATTCTATTCAATGGTGAGAATCCAAGCACGTTGAGGGGCAGTATCGAGACAAAACATATTATAATGTTGAAAATGTGGGAGTCTTAATAATTCATTTCCTTGTTTACTCCTACGAAGTCAACACTTGACTTCTTTACTCCTACCAAACATTCCGGAATAAAAAGTGAAGAAGACAAACATATGGTGGGGAGTTCTTTACTCCTACCAAACACTGCGAAATTAAAAGTGAAGAAGACAAACATATGGTGGGGAGTTCACATGTGCACATGCATGCAGGCATGGGATAGAAAATATTGAAAAATCTAGGTCTTATTTAATTCCAAATTTTTCAGTGTGGATAGAATACAGTCTGGTACTGCAAATGTCATAATACAACTAATTGCATCAGTAGACCGTGTCAAAAGATTTCTTCAGTTAGTCAATTATCTCCAAGATCTACAAGTATGTGAGTCACTGAAGAGTACCACCTATAGAAATCCATAGCCGATAATAAAAGATGATCTTGTGGGTGATTGATGAGACTTGAGAGAAACTTCGATGGAGTTAGGATGCTGGTACTATAACGGTATCTCAAATCAATCATGCGTCGTTACGTATTTTAATTTGTTCATGTGATAATGTAATACTTGGGATATCGCTACAGTGTCTTCCTGATGCATGTAAGTTCTCACAAAATTGGCATACAGTATGAAATATTGGAACAATGAATTACCTGGCTTACAAATTCAGAATCAAGCATCCAATTTGTAGGAATTTGGAAAACTTTGTATCTTTTAGTGGCGGATTCTCTCACCCGCGAGAGATTGTAAACCCCATGCTCCAATCTGTTCAAATTATTCCAACACTTTAAGCACATTACACTAAAATTGCCTATAATTTCCAAGAACAATACTAAAAGATGAAGAAATCTACTTACTTTTCCAGCAAAGCCTGCATCTTCTTGAGGGTTGGACCGCAGGGCTGGCGAGAATGATCAGGGAACGACGAGGCCTCAGATTCAAGCTTCTTGAGATCGCAATACCCAAATGCCGCTTCGCGCAGAGCATCCGCCTTCTGCTCCGGCCAGTCAAAGTGCTTCAGCACCGCTCTTTCATCCACCTAAATAAACAAAATCAATGTCAATACGGTATTCTTAACTACTCTAATGCACAGGAATGCGGCAGACATTGCCTTTACAAACTGGTCTAACTCACGTCTGCAAACCCCGATACTCGGTTAAGTCAAGTAATAACAGATTTACGAAATGGAAAATAAAATGTTACCAAGTACGAGAGCTCATCATCTAGCCACTTCACAAAAGGCACCACATCGTTGATGTCTGTAAACGCTGCGTTTTCGATTTCTTTTATCAAAAACCTTATGAAATCTCCCTGCGTTTCTACGTCCGTTTTTATCTGCAAATACAAAAAACACATCAATTTCACAAGCGATAAAGATTTGCCCCTAAACATGACAAAAATTACACCTTTTTGGCATTTAAACCAAAGCAATTCGAATTTGCGAATTGTCTTATCTATCAAGCAAACAACAAAATCCAAAGGAAAGGGCAAATAGGAGGGCCACCTATCACTGACACTGCAAAAAGGCCAGTGGCAAAGTCGTAATTTAGATAAAAACACAAGCTACCGGAACTTACAGCAAGCAGGTGAGCTGACCGGTTCTCGATCTCGCCGATCATGTCGCGGGCATTGGCGGTTCCCGTTGCGTCCGAGACTCCGCTGCCGGACTCCCTCCGTGAGTCTCTTCGCATCAGAGAGTGGTAGAACTCCACAACCTCCGGCACTCGCTTCACCTTCGCCGTCGCTGGCCTTAAACCTCTCGGTGGCGGAGGAGGCGGAGGTGGAGCCGCCTTAGACGGAGGCGGTGTCGGTGGGAGTGTGGATTTTGTCTGACTTGGCGGCGGCGGAGGCGGTGGTGGAACTGCATTCCCCTGTTCTGTTGAGGCCTTGTTTTGACCGTTGGATGTGGACGGCCTCGGCGGCGGTTTAGGAACCCTTGGGATGCGAGATCTGATGGTAGCCAGAGCCGACTCGGCTAACTCCTCCGAGTTACACCTCGACAGCCTCGGCCTCTCCGATTCCGGCTCTTCCCTCTTCGACTCGGAGCCGTCGAGCTTCTGATTCTCCGGATTTGTCGGAATGTCGGTGCATTTCACTCCCCTCTTCAGATTTCTGATCAGATTCGACCTTCCAGTGACCTCCATCAGTCCCTGAAATCTCTGCGACGACGAAAGCTCGTCGTTTTCAAAACCAATCACACGATCCGACGCCGTTTTCTTCAGCTCCAAAATTTCAGCCTCCAATAGCTTCAATTTCTCTTCTTTCTCCCTCCTCTCTTCTTCCAACGCTGACGTCACTTCGGCCACCTGATTTCTCAGCCTCTCGTTCTCCGCCGCCAGCTCCTCCACCCGCTTCGACGCTCTGTCAATCTCTTCGTCCTTGCTGATGATCTCGTTCTCCAAGACGGGGAGGATGGCGACCGACTCTCTCAGGAGCTTGTGCTCGAGGAGCTCCGTTTTCAGCCTCGACTCGCGCTCCCGGAGCTCCTCCACCAGGCGGAGAAGCTCCGTCACGTCCGGCGGCTTAGGCTGCACCTGCGCAGACGAGCGCGGGAAGTAGGCGCCGAAGGAGCGCGAGAATACCGCCCCCTTCTGCGCTGTCTTCCCGGAGCTCAGCGACGGCGACGGCGACTTCGAAGGAGTTTCCGGTTTTGGATTCGCAGGGTGATTTTTGTAGCCCCATTGCCACCCTCACCTTCCCAGCCACCATTGCAAAACCCACCTCTCTCACTCAACTACTCCGATTTCTCTCCTCTCTCTCTAAGAGTGCGGTGTTTCTCTCTCTGGGATTTGGGGCCTGTGATTAGCCTTGCAAAATCCTGTATACAGTGAAGGGGTTACTTACACGGACGTCCTTGTCTCTCCCTCCAACTTGAAGTTCGCGACCAAAATTTATATTTTAAATAAAAAGGAAAAAGGTTAAAGTAAAAATTAATTAAAAAGAGGCAAAGCAGAAGGCGCCGTTAACGAGGAACGGTCTTCTTTTCTCGGATCCAAATTATTTTTGACGAAAGTAAAAAATAATTAAGT